GCCCTAAACCCGAAACCCTTAAACTTAAACCCTAAACCCTCAAGCCGACCCAGCGACATGAAGCACAGGCAAATTCCGGGAGCCCCGAAGATCTTTCTGCACATAGACGAAGCCATACGGCTGATGGCATAAATCCTGCATTACCTTAGTGACCCTCGACGATGGGAATTGCGGTATATGGGAGTTTCCGAAAATAGGGGACCCTAATATACGACCCTAAATAGTAGGATCCTTATTATAAGGACCCCATAACAAGGTACCCCCCAAATTTTCGGAAACTCCCATATAGCTTCTGATGGGTAATGCAGGATTTGTATCATCAGCCGCAGGAAGCCCGAGAGTCCCAAAACAAGGTCCCAATCCCCAAGGCGAAAATGCGAAAACCCCTAAGCCCGGTTTAGGGTTTAGGGTTTAGGGTTTGGGGTTTAGGGTTTAGGGTTTAGGGTTTAGCACGAGACAGGCTTGGGGTTGACGGTATTTTGGGTTTTGTGGGTCCCTACATGGGTGGTTGTCAAAATTATGATCCTTTTTTGGGTCCTTAATGTAATACGGCACCTACGCAAAAAGGGACCCTAATCTTGACAACCACCCACATCCCTGGATCCAGATCCGGGCCTGTGGGTTTAGGGGCTCAGCCTTAGCTTCGCAACGTCGGGCCCTACGACATGCTTTAGTATAGGGTTTAGGGTTTAGGGTTTTAGGGTTTTAGGGGTTTAGGGTTTAGGGGTTTAGGGTGTAGGGTTTCGGGGTTTAGGGGTTGGGCTTTTTCAGGAGCCATACATTATGCACGTCGTGGTAGTTTAAGAGAGAGCCCGATGTGCTGCCGCAGTAGATGTTGAGTTGTTTTGTGACTCCCAGGGTCCTTACAATGCAACCCCTACGGTTGATGATGCAAATCCTGCATTACCCATAATAAGGAATATGTTATAATTTCCATAGTCGAGGGTCCTTAAACTCATGTAGGATTTGCATCATCAGCCGTAGTACTCGCCTCCACTTGGATGTTCTTTCGACGTAGAGATTAGGGTTGGGAATGACTGAAGAGTTGTGGAGGTCATCTAGGATACCATATACGTCAAAAGTTTACAAAAAGTCTTGTAAGACGTATGTAGAACCCCATAAAGCCCCTGGACCACCCCGGATAAGATCATACAGACCTCCCTCCCCAGCAACGCGACATCCGCAGGCGGCACCTCAGATTCCGACAGTCCTGCGGCCAAGGCAGGTGAGGTTTCTGGGGTCGAAATATTGCCAATATCACTCCTTCAGTTTCCTGCATGTAAATGTGTATGTATGTATATGGGTGGTTCTCAAAATCATGGTCCCTTTTTGGATCCTTGATATAGTACGGCACCTAAGCAAAAAGGGACTCTAACTTCGACAACTACCCATATATATATATATATGTTTATATCAAATATAGTTACATGCATCGATTATACTATTAGGGTCCCACAAATTCTGTTCTAATTATTCAGGCCCTATGTTGGGTTCGGTCTGGGGGATTTCGAGCTGCGATTAGGATTCTGGCAGACGAAACCCGAGCAGCCATGTGCCCCAAATCCTGAGGCCTACACCCTTAACCCGGACCTCAGCTCTACTTGGAGGTTCATGGGACTTAGTAAGTATGGTCCTTAATTGGGGTGACAAGCAGTTGTAAGTACAGGTACCCTAACTATATCCTTAGTTACAAAGTCCCATATCCTTTAACCCAGAGACTCCAATATCCCTTCACTAAGGAATATACCTTAAATTATAGTAGGATCCCTAATATGATTTAAGGTAGATTCCTTAATTAAGGGATATTGGGGTTTCTGGGAAGCAACCCTTCGAGCTTCAACCTCAAGAGCCAGCCTGCGAGCCGTTTTTCCGAAATCCGATCAACATGTTCGGCCAAAGCGTTCCGAGTAGCAAAGAGGGGCCCAAACCCTGTGCAAGTTCTTAGTGCAAACCCTAGGCCTTAATCCCTGAACCCGAAATCCCTAAACCCAAACCGCAAGCCACAGACCTTCAGCCCGAGTCCTGCATCCCGAAGCTAGTCGTCATTTCGAGACAACCCCTGGACACGAAACCCGACCCTAACCCCAGGCCCCAAAAACCCTTCGGCCTGAATGCGGTAAACCAGAGTGCCATAAAACCTAAACGGTACACACTGACAACCTCCTAGGCCTCTCAGGGGTTTAGGTATACGGGTTTGGGGTGTTTTAGCGTTTAGGGCTTTGGCCCTTAACACCCGGAACCCCCCGCGAAGCCCCAGACCGTAGACTCTGAAGCCCCAACCCGAAACCCTGTTCCCGACATCCCTTACTTGGAGGATCATGGGACTTAGTAGGTATCGTTATAAGTACCTTAACTGGGGTTATAAGTAGATATAAGTATAGTTACCCTAATAATAACCTTAGTTACTAAGGCTCTTTGCCCCAAGATCCTAAACACGGTCCCAGCTTCAACGCTCCGAGGCGCTGGCATTTTGCCAAGCCGAAGCAATCTGCTCCTCGGCTGGGGTTTACCTGAACCCTAAATAGCCACATTTCTAGGGCTCCTGTTTATACTTTCCTGATATAAGTCCATGAAAAGGTATGTCCTTTAGGGTCCAGGTATGCTTTAAAGCTCCGGGGTCGTAGGTCTGGGCTTTAAGGCTTTATGGTTTATGAATTTGACCAGTGGCATGGGCCACTTGGATCTATGTCGTGGTTGGAGGCATTTTGCAACCGCCAACTTTATGGGTGGGTTTCCTGGACGGAGGTATGAAGCATTGGCTGCTTCTCGAATTCTTCTGTGGCAAGGACCCAGAGTAGGCCCTTATTCCTTTCTTTTCGGTTCAGGTTCCCTTACTCAGAGCCTCCAAAACCCTTTAATTAAGGAATATATGTTAAATATTATGATTTAACGTATATTCCTTAATTAAAGGGTTTTGGAGGCTCTGGGTATAAGCCCCTTTAAACCAAAAAAGGACACCCTTTTCATTCCTAGGTTACTCTTAGGTCTGGGTGGTTGCCCGGTCCCAGGCCTGTGACTAGTTTTTGGGGTTTGGGTTTAGGGTTTAGGGTTTGGGGTTTAAGGTTGAGGGTTCAGGGTGCGTGTCTTCCCAAAGCCGGAAGGGAAGCTGAACACAGGATCATTCTCTCGAGCAGACATGGCTTACCAAGGGGTCCCCCCCTTCTTGGAACCCTTAAACCCTGAACCCCAAACCGCTGAAGCCCTGAATCCCTCAAGCCCGAAAGTCAGGATTTCTCCGCAGCTTCCGTCGATTCCCTAGTGCATCTCAGAGGTCCGCAGGATTGTCACGGGTTCTTGAAGGCTTAAACTGTAGAATCTTGAATCCAGCGCCCCCCAGACCCCAACAAATCCTCAACTCTAATCTTAACCCCTAACCTACGAATGTGGAAGACTCAGAGAAATCCCCAAAGGAACACCCCCAAACGAAAATTTGAAGACCCTAAACCCTAAACCCTACATCCCAAATTGCCAACCAGAGGCCGGCTGGGTGAGGAGCCACCGTGGGAGGTGATTGAGGCGCAGTGATCCAGTTCAGGGGTTAAGGGGTTTAGGATCTTAGGGGTTTAGGGTTTAGGGGGTTTACGGGTCTAGGGGTTTAGGGTTTACCGTTTTTGTTGCTGTGTTTGTTGTTTTGTTGAGGGGTGGTGGTGGTGGTGGTTGCGGTGGTGGTGGTCGTGGTGGTGGGGTTTTGTCGTTGTTTCAGGGGCTTGTACGGTTTATGGTTTAGGTCTTGAGGCTTTAGGTGTTTAAGTTTTGGGTTGTTCAAGGGTTTGTAGCTTCGGGTTCAAGGGTCAGGAGTTTGGTGTTTGGTTTGAATTTGAGGGTGGGGGTTTGTGGGGTTTATGGTTTGGGGTTTACGGGTTATGGCCTTTATCATAGGGATCCTTAGGGGTGTAGGGGGAGGGGGGGTAGGGGGCCTTAAGGCCCATAATAAGGAGTAATAAGGCCTATTTAAGGAACTATAGTCCCCTACACCCCTCCCCCCTACACCCCTAAGGATCCCTATGACTTTATGACCTTCCAAAGTGTTTTGGTAGGGCTTTCGGAGTTTTTCGGGAGGTTCGGTGGTCGGAGGTGTAGGCCAGGTTTGGGCTGATATGATGGAGGCTTCCATGCTCTTGCTTTAAGCCCCCTATAGAACCCAAAACGCCCCTAAACCCTAAACACTAAACCCCTAAAGCCCTACACCCTAAACCCAGAAGCCCTAAACCCCACACCCTAAGCCCTAAACAACCCTAAACCCTAAACCCCTAAAGCCCTACACCCTACACCCTAAACCCCTAAAGCCCTACACCCTAAACCCCTAAAGCCCTACACCCTAAGCCCAAAAGCCCTAAACCCTCAACCTGAAGACTCTCAAACCTTTACAGACGCTGCAAGAGCCCTGCAAGCCCTTCGAGCCTTTCCCAGCACCCGTATCGAGACCCTTTAAGGGGTTAGGGTTTAGTGTGAAACCCAAAGGTACGTTGTGTTTGAGATCTGCTGCGTAGCTGTGCCACGACGCACAAACGGAGAAGTGTACAGCTGCTGCGCCTTGATTTGGCTCAAGGCACACGGATTTTGGTCTGCTCTGTGTGAAAAGAGCGATGCCGCTCCTTTTAGTTTCACAGAAACTAAAAGGAGCGGCATCGCTCTTTTCACACAGAGCAGACCAAAATCCGTGTGCCTTGAGCCAAATCAAGGCGCAGCAGCTGTACACTTCTCCGTTTGTGCGTCGTGGCACAGCTACGCAGCAGATCTCAAACACAACGTACCTTTGGGTTTCACACTGGTTACAAAATATCTCCAATTTTTTGGAGGCTACGGCCGAGCTTGTCGCTGTACAAAGGTGGTCGTAGTGACTCGTAGTGCATGCTGTCATCAACGATGCGCTGAAGGTGACCACGTTGGTTTGGGCGTATAGACGAAGGCTCCCATGAAGTAACGTTGGCCTCCGCATCGATGGTCTCCGCGAAGTGGTGACGCCGCTGACTGCAAAGATTGCTTTGGCATATAGCTCATCATCGACATTGACGCGCCCATGATTGGGTCTTGATGTTCGGGTGCTTGACATAGACTTCGGAATCCAAGATACCGATGTTGAGGGCGCCAAAGTACAGGCAGATAGCAGCGACATTGTAGACACCATCGCGGTAGAGGAGCTCCACGATGATGCTGTCGTCACACTGGTAACCGGCGGTGTGGACGTTGTAGATGTCGAGCTGAGTGTACGTGTGGAGCGTGCTATTGTACTTTGGGAGCATGGGCCGGGCGTGAACATGGACGACTTCGTGACCCATGATGCTGTGGTGGGGAAGGTGGTCGTAGTGGCCGCCGTCGTTCGTGATGTCGTCAAAGATCCAAAGAGGTTGTAGCCGTGGAAACTTTGGATTTCAAAGGCGTCGGGGAGCACGTGGTTGGTCGTATAAGCTGTTGTGGATGATAGAGCTGCAGAGCATGCCGCCATAGAGCAATGCGCCGTAGAGGATGCGCTTGCAGAAAATGCCGCCATAAACGCCGTGTCTGTAGAGATATTTTCCATGCAGAGCGCATTGTTGCAGAGAACGTGATCTCAAAGGCCGTTGTCAAGGAGGGTGCAGCGTACTCCTCGAGCGTGTTGTTGTAGAAGACGTGGAAGTGCAAGGCACCGTTGTAGAGGACGCAGTTGTTGTGAGCATAGTAGACGATGTGACCGCAGAGGGTGCAGCTGTGAAGGATGCGAAGGAAGATAAGTCTGTAGAAGCTGTGGTGAAGGCTGTTGCCGTCCGCAAAGCGCTTATCGAGGAAGTCGAGCATATTGTTATAGAGGATCCCACGCAGGACGTTCCGGTAGAAGGCGTCACGGTAAGCAGTGCTGCTGCAAAGGATGCGGTCGTAGATGACGTAATCGTAAGTGATGTGGTCGTAACAAGCATAGTTGTGGAAACTTTCGTAGTGGAAGACGTAGTCGTAGACGATGTAGTCGAAGACGCTGTGGTCGTACAAGATGTGGTCGTAGAAGATGTGGATCTAAACGACGTAGACATAGAACATGTGGTCGTAGAAGAGGATGAGGGTGCAGAACATGTGGTTGTAAGTGAGGGCTCATCGACGATGATGGCGCAGAGGATGTAGTAACCGACGATGATGATGTAGAAGATGTGGTAGCTCAAGATGCTGACTTGGAAGATGTGGTAATCAGTCATGTTGATGTGGCGCGGTGGTCGGAGAGGTTGACGTTGAAGATGTGGTCGGCGAACATGTTGACATAGACGGACGTGATAGTCGATGATGTGGACGTAGAGGTAGTCGCCGTCAGCAATGTTAATGTAGACGGTGTGGTAGTAGACGATGCTCATATAGAAGATGGGGTCCTCGAGCATTTTGATGTATAAGATAAGGTCCGCAATGATGTTGGTATCATTCAAAATGCTGATGCAGAGGCTGTGGTAGTCGACGAGGTTGATGTAGAAGATGCCGTCGGCGAACATGTTGATGTAGAGGATATGGTGGTCGACGCCGCGGAGGAAGCAGGTGTGGTAGTCGGCGACGCTGACGTAGAGCATGTGGTACCCGACGATGTTGATGTAGAGGATGCGGTAGACGGCGGTGTTGGTGTAGAGGATGTGGGAGCCGGCGACGATGATGTAGAGCATGTGGTACCCGACGATGTTGATGTAGAGGATGTGGTAGACGTCGGTCTAGATGTAGAGGATGTGGTAGTCGGCGACGCTGACGTAGAGCATGTGGTACCTTGATGTAGAGGATGTGGTAGACGGGGGTGTTGATGTAGAGGATGTGGGAGTCGGCGACGATGATGTAGAGCATGTGGTACCCGACGATGTTGATGTAGAGGATGTGGTAGACGGCGGTGTTGATGTAGAGGATGTGGTAGTCCGCGACGCTGACGTAGAGCATGTGGTACCCGACGATGTTGATGTAGAGGATGTGGTAGTCGGTGGTATTGGTGTAGGGGACCACGGTAGTCGGCGACGTTGATGTAAAGCATGTGGTACCCGACGATGTTGATGTAGAGGATGTAGTGGATGGTGGTGTTGTTGTAGAGCGTGTGGCCATCGAGAATGTCAATGTAAAGGATGCGGAAGCTGACGATGTTGATGCAGAAGATGCCGTCGGCGAAGACGTTGATGTAGAGGACGTGGTAGTCGATACGGATGTAGAAGGTGTCGTCGTCAGCGCTGCTGCTGTAAAGGGTGTGGTAGTCAACGATGTTGTTGTAGAAAAGGTTCTCGGCGAGCGTGCTGGTGCACGGGACCTGATGCGGATGTAGAAGGGGTAGCCATCAGCAATGTTGATGAAGAGGATGTGGTAGAAGAAGGTGTTGCCACAAAGGATGCCGTCGTCCAAAGTGATGCCGTAGAGCGGGTTGCCGTGCACAACATAATCACAGAAAGGGGCTGCACAAGACGTCGCCGTAGAAGTTGCGGTTGTATAGTACATCTCGTCATAGAGCATGCCTTGGTAGAGAGTGTGGTCGTGCATGGTGAAAGATGATGCCGTTGAAGATGTACTTGTAAAGGATGCGCATGTGCATGCTGAGAACCTCGCCGGCATACTTTGGGAGGATGCTGGTGTGAGCGGCGTCGTCATTGACTCGGCAAACGAGGTGGTCGTATTGCAGAGATCGAGGTTGCCACGGGAGTCGTTGCAGACGCAGCCCTCAAAGAGAAAGTTGTAGAGCACGCAGTTGTGCAGGACGTAACAGCGACATACGATGAAACCAAACCACAAGATCTCCGCCTCAGAGCACAATCTAAAGGCGAAGAAGACACAGTAGCACCCAACGGTGCCAAACCACAAGATCTCCGCCTCAGAGCACAATCTAAAGGCGAAGAAGACGAAGTAGCACTCGACGGTGCCAAACCACAAGATCTCCGCCTCAGAGCACAATCTAAAGGCGAAGAAGACGAAGTAGCACTCGACGGTGCCAAACCACAAGATCTCGACCTCAGAGCACAATCTAAAGGCGAAGAAGACGAAGTAGCACTCGACGTTGCCAAACCATAACATCTCCAACGCGGAGCACGGTCCCCACGCAGAGATGACAGAGTAGCACACGGCGGCGCCCAACCAGAAGATCTCCGCCTCAGAGCACAGTCTAATGGCAGAGAAATTTGCTGAAGTTCGCAAAGATCGACAAGGTAGACAAGGATGCCGACACACGGCGCCAGGAACGACATGAACCCCGGAAACGGCCCCGAGGCTCCGCTACCAATGTGAAACTAAAAGGAGCGGCATCGCTCTTTTCACACAGAGCAGACCAAAATCCGTGTGCCTTGAGCCAAATCAAGGCGCAGCAGCTGTACACTTCTCCGTTTGTGCCTCGTGGCACAGCTACGCAGCAGATCTCAAACACAACGTACCTTTGGGTTTCACATTTAGGGGTTTAGGTTTAGGGGTTTAGGGTCTAGGGTTTAGGGGTTTAGGGTTTAGGGTTTAGAGACACTGTTTTAGAATCCCTTATCAAGGCCTTCTTGATCCCATACAGGCCTCCTTTCGCACCCCAAGGTCCTCTTCGCACCCATTTGGACCGCCATAAACCTTATTCTGAACCCCAAACCCCGCTTGGAGGTTCATGGGTCGTTTAAAGGGATCCATACAGTTATAGGGTTTAGGGTTTAGGGTAGTTATAAGTAGGGTTCTAAGTAGGGTCTACACCCTGACTCGAGGCAGCTGGGCCCCAGGCGCGGCTACGCCTTGCTCAGGCTGATGCGGTGGTGGCGGTTCTTTCAAAAAATTGGTTGATGAGAGTATGATGTATCACGTGCCTGAGTAGCACCCTTTTGCCCCTCTTATTCTAAAAACGTACCCTCATAATAAAGGGGCTACTCAGAAACCTAGTCTTGAAGGGTTCCATGAGAGCTGACGGTGTTGACTCGGAGGGTGTCGGGGTGTGAAGGGGCTTTCAGGGTTTACGTGCATGCTGTTTTCAAAACTTAGAGAGTAGGGTCAAACACAGCCAGCAAGTGTGAGGCCCGAGTGGCTACTAAGTGTATGATAGTGGGGCTATCATCGAGATCGTGGGCGTAAACCCTAAACCTCAACCCTAAACGTTAACCCGAGAGCCCCAAACCCCTAAATGCGTGCATGAAATGAGCCTGGGCCTCTGAACGTAAGGGCGAACTAGTTTTCACTAATAGGTTCTGAAAAATTAGGTTCTGTAAGGCTTGTGGGAATCCATCCGTCCACGCATGCCTGCCTGCATGCATGCATGCCTGCCTGCACCCATCCGTACATAAAGATACCCACGTGCGGACGTGCATGCATGCATACAAGTACATTCGCAAGTCCAGACCTGCAGGTAATGTGGGAACCTGATTAAGAAACCCTGGCCTATAGTAGGGTTCATATAAGGAGCCCTAATCAAGGCCCAAGGTTTCTTAATCAGGTTCCTACAGTATGTATCGCTGCATCTAAACCCCAGATCCGTCACCTGAAGCCCAGACCCCAAAACCCTGAGCCCTGCACCTTAAGCTTTAAACTCTAATATAGGGGCCTCAATAATTGTCATAGGGTTTGGGGGTATGTTATACTATAAATGTAATAAGGAACCCCCAACTAGTATCGGTCTTTATGTAGGCCCTTATACCATAGAGCCCTACTAAAGATCCCTTATAGACCCCTTAAAGGAACCCTTCAAAGGGAAGCATAGTATAGGTAGACGCCCATATTACATCAACCTCTTCGCAACTGGGAGGCTTCACTGCAGGCGGGTCATCCGGCCCTGGCCAGTGGGCTGCTCTTGGGTTATCTGAGGCCCCCCCCCCCTCCGGCTCAGACTTAGAAGGGTTTAGGGGCGTACTTGGAGGTTCAGGGGTAGTTATAAGTAGGGTTATAAGTCCCCGAATATGGGTTACAACCCTACCATGAACCTCCAAGTAGCGTGTAAGAGTTCAGAGTTTAGGGGTTTAGGGGTTTGCTGGGTCGGGTCTGAGGCTCCGGCGACTAGGGTCTAGGGTTTAGAGTTCAGGAGTTTCGGGGTTTCGGGGTTTAGGGGCTTAAGGGTTTAGGATCTGAAACTCCGGCGAATAGGGTCTAGGGTTTAGAGTTCAGGGGTTTCGGGGTTCAGGGGTTTCGGGGTTCAGGGGTTTAGGGGTTTAAGGGTTTTAGGATCTGAGGTTCTGGCAAATTGTTTGAAGAGGGTTCCTTTAAAGGGTTTTATACAAGGGTTACTTGGAGGATCATGGGACTTAGTAAGTAAGGTTATACGTACCTTAATTGGGGTCATAAGTAGATATAAGTATAGCCCTAATAATAACTTTAGTTACTAAGTCCCATGATCTTTTTTCAGTACTGTAAGGGAGACTCCGAGGCTCCGGCGGTTCTTGGGCACGCATTTTGAGGCTTGAGGGTTTAGATAGGGTTCTTAGAGTTTGGGCTTGAGAGTTTGGGTGGAGAGTTCAGGTCGTCCTTTGGTACGTTTGTTATTGAGGCTTTAAGGTGTAGGGTTCAGGGTTTTATAGTTTGGGATTTAGGGTTAGGGCTTTCACTTTAGGAAACTGACTCAGAAACCTGGGCCCTATGCCGGGAAAAATCGGGTCCACATAAAGAGCGCCCCCCCAATGTTTCTTAGTCAGGTACCTTGATTATAACAAAGCCCCCAAGCCCTACTCGGTCAGGCTCCTATATTGCACTCCAAAAAGCTTGCGGCCCTTCCCAATTTCGAGGCCCCTACAGTAGCTTGAACTCCCGTGAAGTCTGCCTGATGGAGGCAGGCTTCCGGAGATCCGCTGCAGGACCGGCGGTCACAAACTCACGGGGTTCAGGGTCTATGGTTCTGGGGTTTAGGGTTTAGGGCTTGGGTTTAGATCTTAAGGCTTTGGGTCTAGGGTTTACGGTTTAGGGCTTAGGGTCTATGGTTTCGGGCCTTGGGTTTAGGATTTAGGATTTAGATTGTGGGATTTTCGAGGGCTTTATAGGTGTGTTGGAACTCAGTGTTTTACAATGTGGGTTTCAGACGTAGCCTGCAGTTGAAAGAAGACGTTAACAGCCATTATCAGACTAGGGTTTTGGGGTTATGCTCTACTATATTTATGACAAGGCCCCCCCCCCCCAAAAAAAAAAGAAGTATAGGAGCATAGGTTTTGGAGTATGTATATCTTTTAAGCGTTCAATGCCGAAGATCGATGCTTCCCTCCTTTTCTTAGAGCTCCCCTGCCCAGAAGCCCTCGCAGCTACGCTCCAACTCTAAGCCCTTACCCTAGCCAAGACAAAATCCGGAGCTAAACCTAACATCCGACAATATAAAATCCGAGCTTTGAATGCAACTCAGAACGCTAAGCATCACAAAGCCCAGTAAAACCCTTTGCAAACCCTTACGAACAAGTACTGCAGCCCTGCGAAGCCCTACAGAAAGCTAAGGGTTTAGGCTTTAGGGCTTGGGTTTAGGGTGCATCAAAGGAGGCTGCCGCCAGGCGTGAGGTTGTTTCCCTGGCGCAGCGTGGGGGCTCCGGCGTGGAGGTGGCACCCCCGTTTCAGGCGTTGGAGTTTTGGTGCAAGTTCAGGGTGTGGGTTTAGAGAAGAAAGCTAAGGGCTCCCTTTCCAGGGTTTCGAGATTCAGTGTAGGGTGGGGAAAACGGGCTCGAGTGTTTTTGAAGTTTGGATTTGGGTTCAGGACGGTTCGCGGTTCAGGAAACGTCGGAATGAACTCTGGACCTGAAACCCCTCAAAGTCAGGCTGCCCACAATCACAGCCGCAAAAAAAACGACACTTTGATAACCCTCAACCCCAAACCCTAACCCTTAAGTCCTCAACCCTAAGCCCAAGCCGGCAACCCGAAAAGGAGCTTTCAAAAAACAACCCTGAACCCTAAACCCAGAACCCTTGTGTTATGCTACTGTTGATGGACATTATCCTGCATGACCCTAAGGACTTTAAACTATGGGAACTATGGTATATTCCTTATAAAAGGAAATGCAGGATTTTGTCCATCAGCAGTATGGTTTAGGGTCTAGGGCTTTCCGGGTTGTACCAGGTACAGGGCCACATCCTGCGCCCAGAAGCCCGCGTCCCCTCCGCCAAGGCAAAAACCTAAGGTGCAATTAGAAGTACATTCGGGTCCTTATAATAAGGGTCCTTATAATAATGATCCTATTATTTAGGGTACCATATTAGGATTAGAAGTTTCAGATGAGAATAGGGCTTTGGAGTATTTTTGATCTCAAACTAGGGTCTGGGGTATATTGTAGAAGGTGCAAGAGGGTTTTTCAGGATACGCTGTTCAGGTTCGAATAGGGCTTTAGGAGTATATGCAACTGTACATACCTTAAGGAACCCTGTGTAGATGCCTTAAAGGATCCCTTCAAAGGCCCATACACTAAGCAGGTGCTCCAGCGGTTTTGCGCTGAGACCCTCTCCCGCCAGCATGCGCTCAAAGAGAGCCGGGACCAGGCAGCAGGGCGATTGAGCGTTTTCGGGTTTCTGGTTTAGGGGTTCACGGGTTTAGGGTTTAAGGATTTAGGTTTATGGTTTAGGGTTTCGGGTCTAGCATATAAGTTTTCTGGAGTTCAGGCTTGGGGGTTGGGGGGTCGGGTTCCGGAGAGGGTCGTCTGGAGGGAGCTCCACTCGTCGGAAGGTGTAGGATATGAAAAAAAGGACTCACGCCCCGGAGTCACCACTTCAGGATTTAGGGTGGAACAACACCAAAGCTCAGGGTTTGAGGTTTTCTAGACCCTAAACTAATCATGAGCCAACGTCTTTTGCATTCGAACCTTCGACCGCAGTAACCCCTGAACCCTAAGGCCTAAACCTGAAACCCCAGTAACCCTGTGTCCTAAACCCCAAACCTGAACTTACAAAACGCACCCTAAGGCTCAATATAGCCCAAAGGCTTATGTAGTATGGTAAGTGGGCCCAGAGCCTTACAATATGAGTCCGTAGAGCCTTCGGAGTAGTTTATGGTAGTTGAAGGTAAACCCTAAAACCTAAACCTAAATCCAAAGCCCCTAAACACTAAACCCTAAGTGCACCCGGAGAAAGGGTCATTGCACTTTGCAGTAAAGGAGCCAAAACCCTCAACCTGAGGCATCCTCGCTACCGACCACCGAGCTTCTTTGGTTGGCCACGACGGCGTGGAATGAAGGCCTCGTGCTCGATCTAAGGGCTGTTTGGGGTGTAGCGGTTTAGTGTTTGACATTCAGGGTTTTTAGGGTTTTTTAGGGTTTCATGACTCAGAGGTTTA